GGGCGGCAGGATGGGGAGGAGAAAGCCTTCCAAAATCATCTCTCCCCTCTAAGTATTTTTCAGTCTCAGTGGCAACAGCAATGTGATGTTTTCCTAGTGTCGGTTTGGTTATTAAATCACGCTGCCCGATGGAGCATCTGGCCATTCTCAAATTAAAGTAGCAAAACTGCTGGGGTGACTTGGACAAGCAAAAGTGCGAGCTTCTCCCAGGGACTGAGTATTTGCCAGATTCTGTACCTCTGGGTTAACGAAAACCACAGAAATGCAATTTCTTGGCAGTGCCCTTGTTAAACTCTGGTTATTTTGAGTTTATGGAAGTAACTAATACAGAGACGGTGTGTGTTTTGTTCCAGACCTCAGAATATATCATTCAAGCCTACAAGTACGGTGCGTTTGAGAAGATCCCGGAATTCATTGCTTTTAGAAACAGGCTGAACTCTTCCCTTCACTTTGCGCAAGTTCGCACAGAACGGATGTTATTAGACCTCTTACTTGAAGCAAATATGTAAGTACAGCAGCGAGTGCAGCACCTTGCACGTGACAGAATTGGGGGATTTATGCGTAGACAGAACACTGGCCAAGTGAGACCTTGGTGAGTGGCACTTGCAGCTCTTTGGCAGAAACCTGTGAGCTATGTCTCTCTGCTTCTAATTTGCTCTCCCCTTCAGTGTCCTTGTCGGTACCGTGTATGTGAAACATTTCTGACATCAGAAGAGTTGGAGACTGGAGAGAATGTGGTCTGTTATTGAGCTATGTTTTCTATTTCCAGTGATCAAAGGTTTGATTTAATGTTGCTTGTTCTTGCATACAGATCAACCAGTTTAGAAGAAAGTATAAAGTCCATGAGTCTGAGCCCAGAGGACGATGACATTCCGTGGAAAGATTTGCGTGACAACAGAGACCTAACGGTCTTGTTTAGCTGGGATCCAAAAGACAGGTGAGTAGAAATATCCTCAGCTGTAGAGTCACACCTTTTCCTTACAGCACAGATGGCAAAGAAAATCCTTTCACGGCAACTGCAATGTTTAAATGTTCTCTAGGCTGGCTAACTGCAAACTTAACAAGCATCATTCATTAATTCTAGCAGTGCTGCCTTTTTACATATTGATACAGTTTTCTCAATTTCTGGCCGTTCCTTCCTCTTCATACAGTATTCGATAACTTTGGGTAGGCTTTTGTACCTGAGTGAAGGTTACTGCTTTGCAAAGTTTAAGCATTTGCCTGAAAACATCTGGTGCCTTTCTCTAGGGACATTTCTGAAGAACATAGGAAACTCTCACTGGAGGAAGAAACCATGTGGTTGCGAATCCGGTCTTTAACTTTAAGGCTAGTAAGCGGACTCCCAACTCTTAGTCACGCTATTCAACCAAAGAACTCTGAAAAGACTGCAGAGAACGGCGTCTCATCCAAGATTGATACAATTCGATCCCTGCTTCAGCAGCTAGAAGCAGCAGTGGATTCAGGGAAGAAGTTTCTAGAACAAAAAATTCAGGTACCTGTTAAGGAAAAAGCTATCCCCAAATATTAAATGAACGCGAATGCAAGCAGAGAAACTGAATGCATCTTGTAACGTCCAGCAGGCTGCAGAATGCACTTAACTGACCCTGAGTTTGTAGTGTATGAATCTGACTGAGAGGTGTGCCAGAGACAAACACTGTGTTCTGGATAAGGAAAAGCTGCAACACCTTTATCTTTTTCTTTGCTTCTTGCCTAGTATCCTGTCCTTGGCCCTCCTCCTACCCGAATGGCTGGCTTCTTCAGTAATGGCAGCTGTCAATGCCAGACTAGCTTGTTTTATCTTGTTAGTGATATTTATGAACTAGATACCAATGGCTTAGGTAAGTGTTTGAGGGGCAGGGGTTTAACCAGATTGTCATGACGTGTGGTGGGAGGGAGCAAGATGTGTCTCCATTTAGTTTGAAAACTACTAGGCATTGGATGATGTGGACCCAAACTGATACTTGTGTGTTAATTTTTTGAATGACAGTAAATTATCTGGGAGATGATGCCTTAATTTAATGTTACATGTGAGTCTTCATTTTTGTACAGTATATGTTGTTGTAATACTGGATCCTCTTTGAAAGCAGTTGCATTTGCTTTTGACTGCTAACACTAAATTACATGTGAATGCTTCTTGGTTTTCTGGAAGCGGAAAATACACAAACTTGTAGTTGATAAATTTTTTTTTTTTTCAGAAGATTCAGCAGAAATCCAGGAGAGGATAGGGAATAGTTTGAAGTCTTTAGTAGAACGACTGACAGGTAAATGGTAACTCAAGAATAAACACTGGTAGCTAAGGTATTGCTTCATGGTGCTCTGAGGATGTACCGCTGAGTGTGCTGCAATTGTGGGGAGTGTGTTAATGCATCTGCAGACCCATTTGAAAGATATTTGAGAACAAGGCTGAGATTCCCTTTGGCTTGTCTGATGGTGAAGCTGTTGCATGCCACAGAATGTTGTTATGTCTCATCATTTTGCTACCTTGCAGCCTAGTCTTAGCAACTGTTGTCTCCCTGCTACTTGGTCCAGGTGTGCTAATAAATGGTGTGGATATACTGTTTGTAATGAAATAAAATTCAGAAGAAACTTCAAAGCTGGACCTTCTCAAGAGGCTTTGGACAAATTTATAATTAACTGCTTAGTGGTAATCCTTTGACAGCTTTGCACACTACACTGAGTTACATACTGTACAGAAAATACGCATTTAAGTTCATCTGTGTGTGTTGAATAAGGCTTTTCTTCTTGCTTTTCAGACTTGTTCAATAAATGTAAAGGTGACTTAATTGAAGTCAGAGACGGCACCTTGAAAACTCATCCAAACCTGTTAGAAAACCTAGTCTTCTTTGTTGAGGTATTTTTTTTTTTTCTTTGGAAACTAGAAACTTTGGAGTACTTTAGGGTAGAAATGTTGAGACTAAAACGTGGTGAAAGTTCTTTGATCTCACTCAGTCATGAAAGCAGATTTTGTTGCGTGTTCTAACTACTCTTGAGTCTTATCAGTAGGAACACTAAAAGGAGTTTAGAAGCCTCCTGTAAATGCAACTTGGAACATAATTTGTACCTTTTTTTCCAGACGATCTCCATTGCCCTGTGGGTATCAAGTTACTGTGACAGTGTCCTCCGACCTTTTAAATCCAACCTGCAAAAAAAGAAGAAGAAAAAAAAAGAAAGCAGTGTAGCTATGGTAGAGACAATATTCCTTTCTTTTCTCCTTCCACCCCCAATCCAAGAGCATATTTGTACGGAAAGAAAAAATCAGGATAGATAACATGTTAATAAACTGTTTTTCATAAACTTTGCCTTGTAGAGGCTGATGTGGGTTAGAGATTACTCGGTACTAATTTTTGAAACTGCTATTTAAAATCAAATGGTGCTGTGCCCTCTCTCTGACATCATGTGACAGCTTTTTAATAGGAAACACAGTTTAGAGTGTCACAGGCCTTCCTGCCTTGAATGCCCTACAGTAAAATTGTTAACTGGTAGTGTTGATCTGGGTAGGTAGATTGTAGCTTAGCATTGGGGGAAAGAATAAAATGATAGACGTTACAAAGTGAGTTGTCATAGAGAATAGTCATTTGAATAGGCATTAATATGTGTTTATAAATTAAAAATATGTATTTGTTTTTATAGCCACCTGTATTTACACATTTTATGGATTATGTCACTGAACTACAGACGTTAACTTCTAATGTAATAGATCACATCAAAGGGCTTGAAATAATTCTGACTGCACTAAAACTTGAAGAGGTGTCCCTCAAGGACACCCTGCTCTTACAGGTAAGAACTTGTGGTGTTATTTGTGTGCTCTATACATTTGAGTGTGACCAGTAACAACCTGTATGTACGTGCCTATGGGATAACTTTGTTGAAAGCTTCTGTTAAAGAAATCTCTTTACCCTAGGT